TGTACGTGCATCAGTTAGCGTTTGTGAGTGTGTACAAGAGTGAAAGTCTGCTTTCTGACGAGCTCCTCCGTGATGGCATTGACCCTCTTCCCTGCAGACTTTCTGCTTCCCTCTGCCTAACCAGCTCTCTGTGCATCAACACTGACAGGGGCGCCCATTCTTGTCTGAAGTCCAGAGTCCTTTCCTACTTCAGACCCCTGTTCCTGGTGGGCTTCTTCTGTCCTCCATGTAACAGCCGCCTCTTCAGAGACCCTTTCTGTCCCCCTAACCCTGGTATGTGACATGACCCAGCCTTATTCTCTAACCCATCACAGTTTGCTTTTCTTCCTATCTGTGGCCCAGGGTCTTCTTAGTCTGACTGTCCCAGATAGCATGAATCCATACCAGGTATCATGGGAGGAAGGGAGATAACCAGACATCCCCACCTGATCGTTTTCACAAAATAGTGCTAGATGCGGGGTGTCAGTGAGCTAAAGGACCCACGAAAACGCGATGTGTTATAGCCTCAGGGGTGAAATCATAATGTATGCTTGATGTGGGATGCCCTTTTGTATACTGTGAATATGTGTTGCCTTTATTGGTTGAAGAATAAAATTGTTCCAGCCAATGGCTAAGCAGAAATAAAGCCAGGTGGGAACTCTGAAGGGGTAGGGGCAGGATCAAGAGATGCCATGAACAGTAACAGCTGGGAAGACAAGATGCAAGGGAACCACTGGTAAGCTACAGCCACGTGGAGATACACAGAATGGTAGAAATGGGTTAATTTATTAGAGAAAACACTAGAAGTAATAAGCCTAAGCCATTGGCCAAACAATTTTAAATATATATTAAGTCTCTGAGTGGTTATTTCATAGCAGCTGCAGGAATCCAGTGGGCAGAGAGAAACCAGTCCAGTGGGACCAGACTAGATGGAGAAAAGTCTCCTCTATATATGTTGACTCTCAGACTTAGCCACATATTGCAAGTACTGGGAGCTTAACAAAGTATAATGGACAGCTGGATTCCATCGGCACAGGCAGATGGATTGCTCTGGGGTAAGCTCTGGACACTGGTGTTTTGTTTTCTCTTTAATTACTAAGTTGATTATAATATGCAGCAAAGTTTGAGAACATTTCTTCTTTGTGCTTGAAGCATTATACACACACACACAGACACACACACACACATACACACACACACAGAGAGAGAGAGAGAGAGAGAGAGAGAGAGAGAGAGAGAGAGAGAGAGAAATGCATAGAGCAAAGCATAAAGAGTTTTTTGAGAGTAAACACTGTCATAACCAGGAGACTAGTTAGAAATGCTATCCTGCCCTACCCCTGTCCAGCCAGGAGCCTCCCATTTCCTAGCTGTGACCTTGATATCCAAGCATAAGTCAGTCTCCTCTGCCACATATCACACATGAGAAAAGCCTGAGTCCTAGGATATGTATTTAGGAAGGCCTTCTGGAGAAGGTGATATTTAAAGGAAAGTGTGACAGTTGGTGGTGGAGTGGCATCTGTTACAAAAGAGGCAACCATTCAGACCATGTCAACTTGCCTGCTGTGTGTTGAGGAAATTTCCTTGCTAATATGCTTAGTCACTGTTTAGACACGATACCACCTTTTCCTCCCTGGCACGGACACTGGAATGTAGTTATAGGTTACAGGTGATTTGAGCCCATTAGCAGATGGGTGACAAACAATGAACTTCATGGAAAAAGTTCATGAGGTGGAAGAGAAGGATGAAGCCCAAAATAGATGGCGTCTCTAGGCGTGGAGAACAGCACACTGGGAAGAAGAGCTTCGCTGGATGGAGGAGTGAGTACAGAAGTCTGTGCAGAGGCATGGTGGCCACCCCACCCTAGCCCAGAAGCAGGGAAGAGCCCAGTGTGAAGTAGGCTCTCAGCAAATGCCAATATCTAGTGCATTGATCTGGAGCCCAGAAGTGAGAGAGTCCCAGGGAGACAGGCCTCAAAAGCATCCTTGCCCTGTAACAGGACCAACAGGGTATCTGCAGGGTTCCTGAGGTCTACCCAGAAGACTCTGCAACCCACCCTGGACCAGATGCTCTCATTTTGTATTGAAAAACTTTCTGTACCTCATTCACCTCTTATAAAGCTCTGTTTTTGAATGGAAAAGGTGCCCATACCTTGACACCACATTGGGATTACCTGGGAACATTTAAATTTTTCTGATTTGTTTTCTGGCCATACTCTAGATCTAATATATGAAGTCTAAGGTGTGGCCTGGGCTTCTTTATCTTTAAATGGTGGTGACGATGAAGACGACGATGATGATGATGATGATGATGATGATGATGATGATAAAAAATGCTCAGGTAATTCTGATATTCACCAGGGGTGAGAACAGCACTTGGCTCTTGTGGAGGCTGGTTGAGTCATGCCCATCCATTCATACTCTGTACTCATCCTGCAGTTTGAGCACTGGATCTTAACGTAGCTGAATTCCTGGGATTTAAACCCAGCATCATTGAAAAACATTGACTCTTGAAAGATGTTTCCCAGGTGCTGAGATGTGTAATTTCCCCATCCTGGAAATGTCTACAGGACCTGCATTTGTTACTTTTCCTGTCCTTGTGAGAACTTCAGGTAGGAAGGATTTACCTGGACTCCTCATGGAAAGGAATTGCATTCATCATGATGGAGAAGGCATGACAGCATTCACTGTGACTGGAGTGGCTTCTGTCCCTGGCAGTGGGGTTGGCAAACAACTTGCTCACATTTTGAGGGATGAGGATACAGAGAGCCCTATCACTCGATGTCAGCTAGAGTCCCAAGGCCCCCAAGTGCCATGTTCTTCCAGAACAGCACCACCACCTGGGGACCAAGGTGAAGCACATGTGAGTGTGGGGGAACATTTCATTTTCAAGTCATAACAAACATCATTTTCATATTTTGCCATGTGGCCTCCATCTGAACCAGAGGTACCATTTCTTGTTCCTTCATATATGAATTTTTTAAACCTAGCCAAGCACGTGTTTCAGATAACTACTGTAAATACAGCACAGTGTCCTTCACTGGCATAGAAAGCAATCCCCCATCGCACCGAGCAAACCAAGCCACTCTGTGAAAGTCCAGCAAAATGAATTGTCATTCCCTAAGCTTCCCAGCCTGACTTCTGCAGCATCAGGATGAAGAATGGAAGTTGGTTGGGTGGGGACATGGCTCCACGGCTAAAGTACTTGTCACGAAGACTAAAGGCAGGGGTTTGATCATCCAGAACACAGGTAAATGCTGGTGGGCGTGGCAGCCCACCTGTAATTCTAGTTCTCAGAAGGTGGAGGCCGGGCATCCCCAGAGAAAGCCGACCAACTAGCCTGGCCTGTGTTGGCCAGCTCTGTGCTACATGGAGAGACTTGGCCTAAATAAATGCAACAGAGAGCCACCATGGAGGACTTTTGTTATCACATGCACCCATACGCACGTGAACTAATCACACACCCTCACGTACGGCAGACGTAAGCCTAGGAAACAACAATAAATGAAAGAGTAGATGGTGGCAGGTGGCAGGCCCAAGAGAAAGCAAGTGTTAAGGGGAGCCTATCTCAAAACGAAAGGTGTAGTGTAGAAGTGTGTTCTCTGTTAAACCTGTGCTCAGCACCTCGTCCGTTGTGACCCTAGCTCTACCTCTTTCGTGGCCTTCACACTTGTCATTGACTTTCTACCTCACCGGAAGCAGAGCTCCTTCAGGACAGGGCTCAGGGCCATCCTAGTCACCGGTGGGTGGGTCTGCAACATGTTGAAAGCTGCCTGCTCTGTAGTGGTACCCAGTAACGGAATTTCCTCTATGATGGACGGTGAGCATTCTCTCAGCCCCTGGCACTACACTACATTCAGTTTTATTCAGGCCAGGCTCTCTGGAACCATGTTTAAACCATGGCAGACTTCCTTTTCATTCAGTGCACAACTATTAGGCACTGACAGGCGGTGTGTGGGGGGGGTAACATTTTTTGAGCTTTGCCACCCTTGAGAGCAGAGTAAGACAAAGAAGGCTGCACCTCACTAAGAACTTATAGTCTAGTGAGGTCATAGGCAATTGTCCACAAAGGAAGCTGTACATAGCACCCACCTCCTTGACAAGCCCAGGGAGGAGGATAAAATAGGGATGTACACACCAAATTTTCAGAAAGGCGGACCTCTGGGAGGTGACTGAACACCAAGGGGCAAGTCATTTGTGGTATCGTTCCCTGTCCCTTTACAAACAGCCACAGAGTCAGGATTTTCCCACTCTCCTTCACTGCTGTGACTCTAAACCAGGCACACAGTAGGTGCTCAATAAATACCGAGGGGAAACAGTGACGAATGTGCGGTTAGAAGTGTGCATTAAGTTTAAAAAGAGTTCCCACTAGTCTCAGGAAGGTGGAAGGGTAGTGACTTAAAGAGCTTAAGAAGTGAGAGTAGGTTCTTTTCAATGAGCCTGGGTAGGGTCCCTTGTTTGTTCCCCAAGAAAACCTACGTTCTCATTCTCCTTTCTCAAGCAAGAGTCTGCTTCCAACTCTGCCGGAGCCCCCTCCCCCACCCTGCTCCCACCTCCTTCCCTTTCCCTCTTCTCATCTTCCTCCTGGAGGGGCTTCTCCACAGAGTGGGCACCCCATTGCCCCAGAGCTGGCTCTGTGGCAGCAGCCTGGAAGGCAGGGTCTCCTACCCCTAGCTCCTCTCCCAGGCAGGACACTGTCCCTTTAATAGACTCCCTCTGCCTGGCGCTCTGCAGCTGGGGAGTAAATTTCTCCCTGTCATCAGGTCGCTGGGAGAAGAGGAGGAGTTTGTTAATGTTCAGTTTGTTCAGCGGGGATCGATGTTTGCTGGCATCGCCTTGCCCTGTCTTGTGTGTGTGTGTGTGTGTGTGTGTGTGTGTGTACGCGCGTGCGCGCGTGTGTGTGCCTGTGTATGTGTGAGAGTGTGTGTGTGTGCACGAGCGCGCGCGCTCCCGTGAGTGTGTGTGTGTGTGTGTGTGTGTGTGTGTGTATGTGGGGGGGGTGTGAGTGCGGGTGTATGTGTGCTTGAGCGAGAGTGCGTGTGTGTGTGTGTGTGTGTGTGTGTGTGTGTGTGTGTGTGAGTGAATTCCAGATTTTCTGTCTTTCCCAAACCCGCTCCTGTCCTCTCACATATCACTCACAGACTGGGATCTGACAGCAGCGACAAACCTACAGTGAGTGATCTCTCCCCAGCGCGAATCCGCCATCAAGATCAGGGACAAGGAGGAGGAGGAAGAAGAGGAAGAGGAGGAGGAAGAGGAGGAGGAGAAGGAGGAGAAGGAGGAGGTGGAGGAAGAGGAGGAAGAGGAGGAGGAGGGAAAGAGAAGGAAGAAGAAGAAAAAGAAGAAACCCACTGTCTTCCCAGGATTGTTTTCCCCCTTATCTTTACGCGCGAGTGTGCGCGTGGCGCGTGTGCGCCCCTCGTCCCTGCCATCTGAACCCCGACTTGGATGTTTAATAAAGAAATCAAGTGTCTCACCAGTCACCAAAAAAAACAGCAAAAAGCAAAACCAAAAAAAGAAAAAAAAATCCAAAAGCAAAAACAAAAAGAGAGAGGGGAAAAACCCAAACAAACAAACAAGGCAGAACCAACCTCCACTCGCAAGCAGCAGGCACAAACCGTCTCTGCCTCCCAGAGAGGGGGTCTCCGGCCCCGCGCTGGAGCGCTGGCAGGGGGATCGTCAGGGGGACAGAGGCCGAGTGACGTCCTAGGAGCCACAGAAAGACCAGTGAGACTGCGGCCCCCGCGCGCGGCTCAGGGCTGGGGCGCCAGAAGTGAGACTGGAGCTAAGTAGAGCGATGCCAAGGAGGAAACAGCAGGCACCCAAGCGGGCTGCAGGTAAGAGATGGCTCTGCTCCGGGTGCCGGCCCCCGATCCCGGCGGCGCACACGGCTCGCCCGCCCGCCCTCCTGGCCCGGGGCTGGTGGGGACGCCACCCCCTGGCGCTTTCAAGAGGGTTAGCTTGCGGGTACCCTCTTTATCACCCCACCCGGATCTCCCCAATCCTCTTCTCTCCAGGCTCCCTCAGGGTGGTGGCAGGGAAGCTGTCCCACCAAACCTTCCTCGCTCAAACTTTTACTCCCTCCACCCTCTACCCCACCCCTAACTTTTTCTTCCAGTCTGGCTCCTTGACTCTGGAGCCAAAGTTGGGTTGTGAATTTGGGGTTCAAGGAAGGGAGAGACACCCCCATCCCTCTGAGAGGTCAGTGCTGGTAGCTTCTGGCCTCCGGGGATAGAGTCTCCAGTCGCTGGGGCTCAGGGTTTGCAAGTGTGGGGCATGTCCAAGCCCGTGGCTGCAGGCTGGCTTTGGGGCTGTGAGCCATGAGGGTGTAGCTTTGGTCGCCAAGGTGCAAAAGGCACCCCCAGGAAATGAGTGAAGCTTTGAATGTATTTTCTAAAAGGATTCACTGTTTATAGAAATCTAATTATCCCCTCGTCTTTTCTTAAGGGGAGGGGGTCACGCATAGAATTTAAAAGCTTTGAATTTTCTTTGCCAGACAGAACATTGTTGGAAACTTTGCTCTTGGTTGCCACCACAGGAGCTGTCCCGTGGAATTCTTTCTTGCAGGGACCCTCACCCTAAAGATCTGAACAGGTTAATAGATCCCTACTACCACAGACTACAGATCTTAAGAGGATTTTTTTTTTCCTTTTGGGTTGCCTAATTGCTTTTTTAATAGTATGCTGGGGTTTTGTTTCTCGGAATTGTAAGAGGAAAGTTCATTTATCTCCTGCCAGACCCACCCACTGAAAAATCAGCTTTCCACTCGATTGCTAGTTTTGATTTGACATTTGATTGATCACCTGTCATCTCACTGCCTTTGATCTATTCATTCTGATATATATCAATAAATCACTCACCATGGTAACTCCGGGTACCAGTGACGCAAGCTTTGCCCTCTATATTCAGAGAGATGCATGTACAATCATTACCATGTTGGCTTTTAATGTGGGCATTTTTTATTTCTTTGTGTCCTTTAGTTGATCAGGGCTTTCAGGGAAAAAAATATGAAGTTTTCTCTGCCTGCCCCTCAACCCCTTCCTTGCTGACTGTCTCTTACTTTGGTCAGCATGGGTAAGACAGACCGGGGGACCCATCGATATATTTCATTCTGTTCCAACTTGAGTCAAACATGGGGAGAAGTTCCCAGGACACTTGGGTAAACTTTGAGAAGTCACCATGAGATCTGGTGAGTTAGGAATCTGGGCAAAGTAGGTATGTGTGTGTGAACACACTGGCTACCAGGCGCAGAGGCTTCATCACTGCCTGCTTCCAGCCCACAGAACAATACATATGTTTCAGAATGTGCAGTTTCCTTCCCTCCTGAGTGTGCAATCACTTCCGTAACCGTGTGGAGGTTGCTTTGAGTTGCTATAAAGCTTCCATTCAAGTATTTTCCATTGTTTCTATAAGAGCAGAATCATGAGAGTAGCCTTAAAAGCATGCACGTTCGAAGCTCGTCTAGACAGGGGGTGTTCTTTCCTCAACCCTGGTTACCTCTTTTGAAAACAATGGCTCTCTTATTTAATTTTAATTTTATCTTTTAACTTACACTGCCTTACTATCTGACCATGTGAGGGTGTGTGATGGCCTTCGAGACTTCAGAAGAGTCAGCCTGCTACATCCGATGCTGGCAACATAAGTTCAAGTGTAGGTGGATTATCAAAGATAACATCCTTATTGTTTGTTGTCCTGAAAGAGAGCCCTGGGCTACAGTCCAGCTCAAATGATACTGCCCTGAAAACTACTGTGTTTCTTTCCCCCCTCCCTTCCTTGTAGTTCCGGTAAAGGCCATCAACAACTAGGCAGTAATTTAAATTACCAGAATGACTGGACATGTCTCCTTTCACAAGCTCATTACAAAAAGTGCCTCGCTCAGAATTGCTCTACTTTAATTATAATTATCCGCTGATCAATGACGATCCAGGTGTGCAGAAAATGACGCTGTATCACATTATTTAAATGAGATCCTTTCATTAAGCTGGTATCTGTTGGTGCTGGCTACTCTTTATTGTAGTAGTAATAGTAGGATGTGTGTGTGTGTGTGTGTGTGTTGTGTGTTGTGTGTGTGTGTATGTATGTTAGTAACTTGTGAGTATACTTTCAGTTTTCTGGCCAATTGGATTCTTAGTGTCTTTGCAAGACTGTTTCTATGATTTTCATATTGTTCCCTGGGAGAAGCAGAAATCCTTTTGGAGCTGAGAGGGAGTAATTCATTTCATACACAGTGAGCTCCGTGGCTCCACAGTATTTATTTTTTCACATATTAATAAGGTGGGTTGCTTTTCCTGCAGTGTTTCTTCTGCTCATCTGAGTTGAACAAACTTATCTGAGGTTACCATGCAAGGAAGGGAGAAAGTGCCTCTCGGACCATGGCTATGCTAACTTTTATCGCTGCTTTAAATTAAATACAATGCACAACTGTAAGTGATTACTCCCGTGGACCGATGTTGAAAGTTTGATTCCTCGTTTGATTAATGAATAATAGAAGATTTAAAAAGCCTGGGAGTGAATCAGGGCTGAGACTCTCCTGGAACTCTCTTTCTCCAAATAACTCTTCCAGGCTGTTAGATGTCTTTCCTTGATTTGGTTTAAGAGTGATGTTTCAAGAAATCGGAGGCTGAACTTTCTATTAAAACAGGTATCTAAATAGAGCACACAGAGTGCTGTGCTAAATGATGGGGGTGGGGGTATGAGGAAGGCTATTCTTTTTAAATGTTCATTTCTCTCGGCAATATTACTGCTTCTCACTTTCTGAAGTTTTGCTCTTTACGGTGCTGGCACTGGAGGCCTGGGGGAAGTTCACAGAGCAGCTTCCGTGCCCTGTATGGATCTGGTATGTGAGGGTGTATTTGGATCACCCTCTTGATGGTATGTTTGGTCCACCATTAAATGCATTTGCTTTTACCTGAATGTTCAGGAATCTGCCTTGGCATCATTCCCCCTTGTTCATTTTTTAGGGAAGATAAAAAAGACAAAGGCAAAAGGGATGAGCAAAAAAGGAACTGCCTTGATGTGTTTGCACTTTAGAGGATGCAGAGTGCTTGGATAAAAAAAAAAAAAAATGTTCTCAAACATGTCTTTCTCTATCAACCCCAGCATCCATGCAGTCCGCATACACACACAGCAGAGACTATTTCAGTAGCAGTCTGCACTATTATTTTTACAGTAACGCCTGCCGGTTGCAATGAGGTATAGAATCTTGTGTAATCACATCCCTGTGAATGTCTAACAGGCCGATGAGTTACAATCCCCTGCCTCTGTTCACCCCAAACCATTCTGTGCTTCTTTCTGGCGGACTTGTGGTAGCTCCCCTTGATCCAGGTTTTTGTGGGGAGTCTGGCAGAAGAGAGAGCATCTCCCTTAATTTATTTTGTTTATTGAATGCTGAAATGAATAATGCAGATTTTGTTTTCATGGGTGTCCTTGTGTAGCAGTAAACATTAGACTATTAGCAATCATTACTTAAAAGTTGCAATTTGCACCTTAATAGCACAGGTTATTTACATGGGAAACACATTCAGCAGGGGCAGTTCTGAACACAGGCTTCAGTAGAGTAAGAATTGGCCAGAGAGGTCTCTTTTTTTATACTTGGTGATAGTGTTGTCTCTTAATTGATGGGTGAAGTCCCAGAAATTTCAGCCACCACATAATGGCAGAAGCCAGTGGCTGTAAGTGAAGTTTGCCTTTAATTTACTGGCAAGCAGGGAGACAGGGGAGAACAGGAACCCGGAATGTTTCTGGACCCCAGTTTTCTCTGTTTGCTTAAACATCCTTCAGAAAAGCAACTTCTCATTTTAAACATTTCAATGTCCATACTATAGATCTTTTTGCTTCCCAGAACAGTATGGCTTTAACACACACACACACACACACACACACACACACACACACACACACACCAGCCCACGGGGCTTCAGTAACAGGGACTCTTAGCTATTCTTGTTATTTAAAGCAAATCTCAGATGGGAGCGGCCAGGTGCCTAGGAATGACTTTGCCCTTACGTGGTTTTAGGTTGGAATTTATTCTTTCTGTAGTCCTTTCTCCAGTGCCCTCCTGCTCTTACCTCTCATCTCTCCCTTAAAGAGCCAGATTGAATAGGACATTTCAAAAGTGCATTTGTTTTAGGCATTTATTGATTTCATTTTTAATCTGCCATATCAGGACATAATATATTAAGCCTAATCTGAAGATTGCAAGTGGCAGGGCTCGGAGCAGAAAGGGAAGAGGAGAGGGCATGGGGGAATTTTGTACAGTGAAATGGCTGAGGCTTGTCTGGGGTATGCTGGGGGTTAGATGCTCCAGGCTACCTTTGCAGAGGGTAAAAACATTTCTTAGAAATACTCCACTGTTCTTCCTCTACTTTGCGTTTCCCGTTGCTCCCAACCAACTCAGTTCTTCTTGCTGCATTTGGAGAAACTTCACACTCCATAGATATCTCCTAGGCATCTTTAGTTTTGGCCCCTAAATATCTTAACTGCTGTCACTTTCACCATCGGTGGAACAGGCTTTACCTAACCCCTGCTGACTTCCCATTGGGAGTGGGTGTGTTTGGGGGGAGTCCTTCCGACTGGGTAATGCCTAAGTTGGTCTGGGTTGGTCTAGTTGTCTTCCCAAGGCTTGGGAATGGAGCTCTTTGTTGAGGGAGACTAGAGCAGGCATTATTTAGGGCCTTGGTGATGAAACTGCTCTGTTCACCTCTGCAGCTGAGCTTAGGAAAACCAATCAAGAAAACAACCTGGGCTCCTTTCCCGTTTGCATTGGGTCTGCAACCAGCTGGTTCGAGGTAAAGATGCTAAAGGTGGCTTCCCTCCATGTGTGAGGACCATCCATGCA